TGTATTCAACACACCAACACAGTCCCAACTAGTAACCACTAGTCATTCTTATTCACTTGTTGTATTCAACACACCAACACAGTCCCAACTAGTAACCACTACTTATTCTCAGTAATCTGCATGTTTAGATCCGTGACAGACCTTCCGCTCGGTTAAGAACAAAGGAGGAGGGATGGAGCAGACTTACCGGTGAAAGCTTGTCCAGGTAACCATAGCAACCCACATGCAGCGACCCAATAAGATTCGATCAGCGGTGATAATAAAGACTGGAGGAACTTTAGCCGGGATAGCTCTTGCATCGAAGTGGTGAGCTGTAAGGAATACGAGATGATAACGTTTAGAAAAACAAAAAGCGTTGCTTGTCCATGCCAATTTTTCCTTATTTTTCGTACCTTCCTTTCCTTTTCCTTCTCTCAGCTTTTGCTTTTCCCTCTCTCCCTCTATCCCTTCCTTCCTTCCCTCCTTCCTTCCTTCCCTCCTTCCTCCCTCCCTCCTTCCTTCCTTCCTTCCTTTTTTCATTCCTTTATCATTCATTACCTTGTATTCTGGTTCAGGAGCAGAATACGAATCTTCTTCGTCATCCCAAGTGGACCACTGACGACTACTGGAAGATGTCTACAATCAAGAATAACAAAATCTACTGAGTAACACGCACATAACGACGACACTGAAAAGACGACAACAACATTATCATACAACGTTATCTCAGATGGAGGCAATGATGCCAGTATTATGGACCGCATATAGCAATGTATTTACCTGTGTGGTGCTTTGGAGGATCTCACTTGAGATAAACTTATCAATCGTTTCCTTCAGTCTTGCCTCTAGTGACGCACAAGGCTACAAGAAGAATACCTATTCTATCAGACAGAGGTTCCTTTGCCTGTTGGGGTTAATACTCGTTCACATCGGCCAAAAAGACCTATTAAATAGGTTTGCATGATGGCGTCATTGACCTCTACTACCAGACTCCCTTGCACTCTTTCTTTTGTACAGTTAATTAGCACCAATTGTCTTACTATCATCATGAGGGAATACGAATTTGAAAAAAAAAAAGAAAATTCGCGAAGTATTATGGTAGTGGGAGTCAAATGACAACATCATGCAAATGTCCTATTATAAAGCAATAGAACGAGGGGGTAACACCATAGAATACTTTGAAATTCCATGAATGTTCGATAATTATTCAAAATTCAATGAATATTCAAAATAATCGCCATTTTGAAGTTGAGGTAAAAACTGGGTCGAGTTGGCATTACAATGCATTGTGGGACCCTTTTTAGGGAACATATTTTCAAGATGGCGTCTATTTCGTCCGCTAAAACAGTCCCAAGCTTATATCATAAATGTGATAATATGATCAAAAAAGGACTCAGGAATGTGGTATCTACATTTGGATGATAGTAAGGTGGACTTCTTACCGGAATAAAGATGAATTCTTTCTGTAGCAGTTCACAAAGATCTTCAGCTTTTTCGATAATCTGAAAACAACGACAAACCTCGTAAACCAAACTATAGATCAGGGCGCGGTTGTACGAAGGGTTGATAGCATTATCCAACGGATAAATCCTTATCCAGTGCATAAGTCGATGCTGTTATCCAATAAATTTATCCACTGGATAAGATTTATCCGTCGGATAGCGCTATCCAGGCTTCGTACAACCGGGCGCAGGGAAGTCTTTCAGAGCAACTGCAATGCGACTTGGAAAAGATTTCTGATGCTGCTGAGATTTCTGTATGATACCCTTGCGCATCGAGAAGGAAGGAACGAAGTACTTAAAACTCCCTACCCTACACCACCCACCCACGAGCCTTAATTGACTGGGATGTTTAGCTATGTTTGCAAACTAATACCCATTGATGTGCGCGCTCACTGTTTTGAGGCGAAGTTCAATCTCGTACCCAAAGCCTGCGTTTCTTCTAACCAAATGAAAATAATACCAATTTATTGATAGCTTAGCTCATTGCACAAGAGTTTCAAAACTTCACGTACCATTGTTTGTGGTAAACTCTGTTCTTGTTCGATGTCTGTTATTTCAATGTCATTCTCTTGTGCTACAGCACAAATACTACACGCTGTGAACAGTAGCAAAATAATTAACAAAAAAAAATTATAAGTAATAAAGCACGCATGAAGTGACGTAAGCACGGATGAAGTGTAAGGAGAACGGCGCTTCCTAAGTGCTTTATTAATAAACGGAGCACGGACAAAGCTGGTTGTTTTTTTTTTTTTCTTTCCTCGTTTCATTATATAGTTACTAAATTCATTTCGGTATCAAATTTATTTACGCACAAAGAAAGACTCTCGCAGGATCTAGCAGCACTTAGCAGCGTCAGCACTGCTCCGTTCACTAATAAAGCACAGTTTTCGACCAATCAGCGCGCACGTACTATCCTAATAATATAATAATTAACTAATAAAACAGGTTTTTTCGTGCTCCGTTCAGTAATAAAGCACGTATGAAGTGACGTAAACACGAAAGAAGTGTAAGGACATCTCACACATCTTGGGTGCTTACGACGCTTCCTAAGTGCTTTATTACTGAACGGAGCACGAAAAAAAGCTGCTTTATTCGTTTAATCATATAGTTACTAATTTTATTCGGTATTGAATTTATTTACGCAAATCAAAAAGACAGTCGCACACGGTCGCAGAACTTCGCGCGCGCGGCTGGCTTCAGCACTGTGCTCCGTTCACTAATAAAGCACAGTTTTCGACCAATCAGCGCGCACGTACTATCCTAACTATATAATAACAGATAATAATGAGAACTCAACGAAGAATCGTTTCCTAGCGAAATCTTTTAATAACCGTGCGGCATAGCTTGGGTAGTTTTCGTGGGTGCCCCCATTAACTCTTATCCGAGTTTCAAATTTGGATATTTGCGTAACTGAACGTTGAGCGAATGATCTTGAATATGTTAGATTTTTCGATGCAAAAAGATTAGGTCGCACCCATTTAGTTTTAAAGAGGTTTCTAATCTCTATTCATCACAAGAACTGAAAACACTGAAAAGTTCTAAGGGATAAACTGTGCATGAATCCCGTCATTTAAAGGGGTACTTGGATGAAAATGGATGAAAATTGGAAAAGACTTTAAACTTAATTAAACGTATATATATGGCCCCAATAGTAGCCAAGCAACATATTTTCTTCAAAGTAAAATGTCTGTAAAGTTGTAAAATTATCAATTCTATTTAGCAACTAAATTGTGAGTAAATGACGTCATTTACTCAACCCTATTGTTCTTTTCGCTTTTAACCTAAAATTTCTCAACTTCAAGTGGCTCCCAGGCAAAACTTTTCACTAATCTGGTTCACATAGTCATAATTGAGTCAAATTATCTTCAAATACTTCAATTATTCAGACTTTGAAAACTTTTCATCCAAGTACCCCTTTATCAGGACCAATTTAATCCCTTCGGACTTTATTCAGTTTAAAAAAAGAGTATGACTTACCTACTACAGCCTCTAGTGCAAATATACACAGAACCTAGAACAAGCAAAAGAAACATTACCAATAGTAAGTATTTGATTACATGTAAAAATTTCAAATGGGACGCGACAAAATCTAAGAAAACCTTGCCGCGCACAAACCTTTTCTGATCAATGATAATTTATTTGTTAGAGCAGGCCGATTGTTTTCGCAGCTTTCGCTGATGTGGGCCTGCTTTCACTCATACTTACTACCACTACATTAACTATTTTATGCGCACAACGCTCAGCTCACGTGTTGATTCTTTTCGGAGGGAGGAAACCGGAGAAAAACCCTCGTGGTAAGGGAGAGAACAACACATCAAACATTTTTATGCACTATGCCTTATATGGTATTGTTTGTACCCAAGATAGACCACAATGCACCCTGTTTATCGAGCTTTAAAAAGGTTCAAAATGAAATCGCTAAGCAACAATTTGCGCGCAATTTTGTTGCCATCATATTTTCCATTTATCTTTTTTTTTTTTTTTGTTAGTCAATAATATTTGGACCGTATTTTAACTATTTTCACAACCCTGTCCTGTAAAAACAGTGATGTTGTTGGTTAATGAAACTTGAAACAATATGCCAATGCCATCCCACTATTTACAGCCCTGTTCTGTTTTGTTAATTCGTATTTAGTATAATTTTAGACTTGAATATGGAGTTTCGCACGCTGTGATTGGTCGAGTGACCAGTGATTATGAGACGATATTCACTGCTCGAGCAGGAATAGGAATGGCATTTACTTTCATAGCAAAACGATTGCCGGCAGATGCCATTTTGTTGCCGACTCAATATTCCGAGATTCAGAGGTGAATATCGTACAATATTCACCTCCAATTAACCAATGAGCGCGCGCGTTCTTAGGAAGTACACAAGTTGGTATATGCTAATAACCTATATTCACTTTGCCTTCGGAAAACAATAATCAAATATTTGTATTTTCTCACCAGATTGCTGTAATTATGTAGGTCGATAACTTCAGGCACTCGTAATCGCGGTTTTATATATTTTTCTTCGCCATTTTCTTCAACATCTACAAGATTTCCCAACAGTTCTAGAGCATGCTGGACCACATCGGGGGTCTTACCGCTGAAGCCAACATCCCTAGTGAAAAGATTGAAATCACTCTAAGAAACATCCTAAATGACAGAACAAATCTTGCAGGAGTGGGATACCTGTGGCACTGATCTTCTTAGTCACCATTTTCCATACATTGGTTCACTGGTGAAACACAAAGCGCTCAAGCGAGGCGCCAAGGTACTTTCAAAAGATTATTCAAACTTGAACCTTGCAACCTCGACTGAATGCTTTGTGTTTGACCAGTGAACCAATGTATGGAAAATGGTGAATTCCTTTCTCAATCACCCCCCCCGAAATTGTTGCTCAAAAAGGAATCTCCCCCTTCCCCCCCCCCCCCCCCCCCCCCCCAACCACACACACACCTTCATCTTCACCTTATAAAATACCACTAGTTAGGCCTCCTGTAAAACTTTGTAGTAATTTGTACAATTTCATTAGTTAACTTTTTCACGAATATATTGCAAGCACTCTAGCTTTTATTTATTTTCCTCACTAACCTTCCTCTTGATAAGATCTCTTGTCGCAGTTCATCAAACGAATAAACCAACTCATCAAACGAAGCTCCCTAGAATACAGACATCAGTGAGTGGTTCTAAAGAACAACTCTTTCAATATGGCATGAAGTACTGTCCTGGGTGCCAGAGGTAGTGTACCGTGGGTGCTGGAGGGAACTTACCCTGAGTGATGGGGGACCGTACCCTAGTTTTTGGGGTAACTGTACCACTGGTGCCTGAGGGACTGTACCGTGGTGCTGGAGGGAACTTACCCTGGGTGATGGGGGACCGTACCCTAGTTTTTGGGGTAACCGTACCATTGGTGCCTGAAGGACTGTACCGTGGGTGCTGGAGGGAACTTACCCTGGGTGATGGGGGACCGTACCATAGTTTTTGGGGTAACCGTACCATTGGTGCCTGAAGGACTGTACCGTGGGTGCTGGAGGGAACTTACCCTGGGTAATGGGGGACTGTACCCTGGCTTTTGGGGTAACTGTACCACTGGTGCCAAAGAGATCGTTCCCTGGGTATTGGAGATACCATAACCTGAGTGATGGGTGACTGTAACCTGGTTGCCGAGGAGACCGTATTGTTGACCAACTGAATCCATAATGGACTTACCTTCCTGTGATTGTAGATAAAAAGAAATGCGAGCATGTTGGTACTCATAACGGCACTGCACTGCACAGCATCTAAAACAATTAATAAACCAATAGATCAGTCGATCTGACACCTTTAGGTGTCAAATGCAATCCAGGTTGTACGAAGCCTAGATAGCGCTATTCAATGGAAAAATCTTATCCAGTGGATAAATTTATTGGATAACAGCATCAACTTATCCACTGAAGAAGGATTTCTCTGCCGGATAGCGCTATACAGGCTTCTTACAACCGGGCCCTGTATTCCCTGATGCAAAGCTGCAATTTCATCCACCAATCAGATACTCACCATAAATCACATGATAGCCCAAAACCTTAGTCAGAGAGAAACACTTGTCCTCTCCGAAATCAGACAAGGAGAGATCAGAGACGTTCCTTAGCATGGACGACGCTGGGCTAGACGTTACTGAAGACCTGGCAACCATAGTAGAACCAAACTCCTGCATACTCACAGAGAGATCCATGTTCTCAGAGAACTCCTGTAATCAAAGAATTTAAGATTAATAAGGAATATATCTGGGTAATGTTCAATGTTTTTTTACAGTGCGGAAACTAGAATCATGCACACTTCAAGGTTTTTTGGACATTTTTCATAACTATATCCAATCACATCTCTCTGTAGAAGCAAAGGACTGGTTGGACTGTATTTCTAATAGTGAAAAATGAAGAAATAGAAAACGCGTGGGGGTGCCGTGTGCAGTTATAAAGCACGCTTGGGTTGGCAGAACACAAGAGAAGTGTTAGAAGAAGTACGATACGTAGCGGAGTGCTTCTTGACACTCTCTTATAAAATAAAAAATACAGACAGGAATGACGAAACTGAAAGTGCACGCACGTGCTCTCTGCTCTCATAAAGCACGCGCTCCCAACCAATCAGAACTCGAGAATTTACAATGTAAATTTCCTTTTTTCCAAAGAATTTTTGAAAAATTCTCAAATTTCTTTTCATCTATCTTGTTTCTAATGTTTCCTGTTCTTAGAGACCAGTTTTAGCGCAATCGCAGCCTTTTTAACGAAAATATTGAGTGCGCAGTATTACGCCAGAAAGAAATTAAAACTATTGACAAGCTGATCTTAGCAGATAAAAGAATTTCATAACCACGGAATCACAAGTTCTCTAAATTTGATTCCTCCAAAAAAATTCTAAATTCCTTTGTCTTGCAGAATGTTCGTCGACTGAATCGCAAGTTTTTAATAGAATTGTGTATGGCTGACAGCACATGGTGGTCAGTGCTTGATGAGCTGATTGGAACCCAGTAATTCCAACGACATTCAGTATTTTGAAATCAAATAAATTTTCATTTAATGCTGCTGCTGCTGCTGCTACTACTACTAATAATAATAACAATAGGAGGTTCTTATATACACGACTTTCAGAGTCTATTGAAGTAAGGGTGAATGACTTTGACACAAAATATCGTACTAAGGCTTTGTTTACTAATGAGGCCTTTCTGACCTCGCTTCCATTCAATTGTCCCTAGTCCCAACCGAGTTTGGCGGCCATTTTTGAAAGTCGTGTATAGCGCATTTATTCAACGTCTCAATTACCTTAAGTGAGAATGGCTGAGAGAAGTCGACACGAATATGACCATAACGGGACCCCAGTACTTGGAAGATTCCTTTAACAGCTTCATAAAATGTTTCTGGTCTCTTGGGTTCACCCTAAACAAAGATAAAAGCCTATCATCAATACACAAGATGGTAACAATCATTTTGCATTTATGCGAAAATCTTAGGGCGCTTCCCATTTAGTATGCATCAAGGCCGGTTGTACGAAGCCTGGATAGCGCTATCTGGCGGATAAATCCTTATCCAGTGGATAAGTCGATGCTGCTATCCAATAAATTTATCCACTGGATAAGATTTATCCGTCGGATAGCGCTATCCAGGCTTTCTACAACTGGGCCCAGTCCTAAGAGCTGGACCAACGCAACCCAAACTAGTTCTAAGAACTGCGACGCGTAGCATTTGAGAACTGGCCACTTTGAGCGATCGGTTCGACTTAATGGGAAGCGCCCTTATATAGACGTGCCTTTTTCATTTTAGCACTGTTCTTGACCATGTAGAGCGCATAGTGAGGTGACAATATAATAAGAGAGAATTCTTTTCGTATTCAAGCAGTGAGCACCAAAAACTACTTTCTTGAAGAAAGGCTGTTGTACAAGGCTAAAATCTTGTTATTCAGAAAGCTTAACTTGTTTGGAAGTGGAGATGACCGATGAAAGTGGAATCAAAGTATTAACCCAAAGCAAAAATTTTATTCGAAAATGAGGTTTAGGCCTTCATTTGCTTATTTCCCATACATTTTCTATAAAAAGCCTGACAAGGCAACATTCTAACACAAATGCAACAAAACATCTTTGTACAATAAATACCGCTTCAAACATGCATTATCATAGTACATCAGTTTCTAACTGTTTAAAAAAGGTTTCGAGTGTTAACCCAAAATGAATGGGATCAAAACTCATACGAAAGTCTAGATTTTTGGCGCTTTTTGCCATTATTGCTCATTATCGAAAAAATTTTTTTATAATAGTTAGAGGGGGAGATGAAAAAAAAAAACTAAGATACTTACCAACAATTCTCTTGAATAACTTGTTTCAAATGTCTGAAACAAAAATATATATCAAATTAAGGCCCCGTCCACACTATGCCGGATAAATTTGAATCCGCAACTTTCACACCGAAACCGAAAAAAAAAATTTTAGTCCACACATAAAAACGGGTAAAATGTTTCGCGTCCACACTAGTCCGATCAGAGGCGGAAAAAACGCTTCATTGCACATCTGAGCATGTGCATCGAAGCTGAAATTGAGCCCGCGGTGAATTTTTAGCCTTCCCGCCATGTTTCCATGACAATCATGACGTCATCGTATTCGAAAGATTTTGGATACGAAATGTTCTCCGTCCACACTAATACGGCTAGCCGGCGTTTTCTAATTGTTCCACTCTGGAGACCGTATTCGAAAAAATTCGTTTTCGGTGAAGAATCGTTCCGGATTCGCCCGGACTAGTGTGGACGGTAGGCCTAACCGAATAAATAAAAATTCGGATTCAAATTTATCCGGCATAGTGTGGACGGGGCCTAAGAAAGACTTTTCAGGTGTCGGTAATGTTCAACTATTCGTTAAAATATACCAATCCCATTCTCTTCCCATCATATCAGCTGACTAGAGTGCATAGATTATTAACTAAATATTGATTAATAATATTATAATACATTCAACAAAATTACTCGATTCTGATTGGACAAGAGGAGTACAATTAAATCCCAAATTGTGCTCTGTAGAGTCCCAATTAAGTTGCTCAGTTGTGTTGACTGTGTTATAAGCAAAAATCTTCTCGTACAATTCTGAATTTATAGATACTCGTGATGTGTTGAAACTTCTCATATTTTGGAAACTTTCAAAACAACACTTGCACCTATAAATTCAGAATTGTACTCGAAGTCGTGACTCGACTCTCGGTAAATATTCCCCGATATTCACTTCGCCTTCGGCGAATAATCGTTTTAGCAAATACCAACTTGTGTAAAGAGTAATTTATTTTCATATACAATAATTCAATAAAAACAAACAGAAACTTTTGGTTTGCGTGACAAATTCACGCAAAACTTTTAGCAAACCTTTTAGGCCATACTTCGTTGCCTTTTTAGTATTGATAGGAATGGCATTTACTTTCATTTTTTCAATTTCCTCACCGGAAATTGTAGCAAAACGATTGCCAGCAGATGCTATTTTGTTGCCGACTCAATATTCCGAGATTCAGAGGTGAATATCGTACAATATTCACCTCCAATTAACCAATGAGCGCGCGCGTTCTTAGGACGTACACAAGTCGGCATATGCTAATAATCATTATTTACCTTTTCATATGAGATATTTACTGGAACAATTAGAACATCTGGTACAATACCTTCAAGACAAAATATTTATTTCTTTTGTGATTTTAGAAAATAATTATGCATATTTTACAAATATTTTAAACCCTCCTCAGACCCTCACCACCCCTTGGAAAACCCAACCCCCTCAGTGAAGAAGGTATGGATATTTTCTGCGTGTACACATATAC